TGTTTTTATGTCATGTGATTTTGTGACATCCTCTTTTAGTTGAGATTTTTATACCACTGTTTCAATCAAGGTTTTACCTGGGAAAAAATATATATAATTTTGAGTCGGAACCATTAGATGTAATCAGACCCTTAGTCAATATAAAATGTAATCAGATCCTTAGTCAATCTAAATCGAGCATAATTTACATATTAACTTTGTTAAGTTTAAACTACTTGCTTAAAATATTTAAACCCTTACAAATCTTTAGATAAACCCTTATAATTTTTTCGGGTCGTAAAGATATTGATTGAATCATCGAGAATTTAAATGAAATGAATATTCTAAAAGAGCAGCACTCAACAAGCTCCAAACTCAAAACCATGGAGAAACTCACTCTTGCCTTCAGTACTAATAAATTTCTTTTTTTATTTTAAAATTTGTCTTTCAGTTTGGTAGATTTTTTTTTTCAATTTCATAAAATCAATGGGTTGCAATCATATGTATTACACTTATAGGAGCCTTTTTATATTGTATAAATATATTATGATTGGCTATGATGAAGTTCATCTCATGCTAATTAATTATTGTAATAAATATTAATGTTGAGGCTTCATCATCAGCAAATCCACTCTGGTCTAATGATAAGCCACCCCACGGATTCAATCGAGGGATACCAATCAAAATGTCAACTAGACTAGAGGTTCTCTGTCTTGTTTTCTAGATGGATTGAGCATAAGAATCTTCAACCAGTATATAATCGACAGGAATCTAATTGTATTAATAAAAGTAACCACATCAACCGATTTCATGTTAGATGTGATTAGATGCATTCTTCTAATTCTTTACACCCAAACAAACATGGTCACCAATTAATCAGCTGGCCCAAAAGTCAAAGTCAACTTGGGGGGGGACAGTTGTCTTCCTCTCGAATGAAGCTGAGGAGAGCATGTCATCACCTAAAGCCAGAAGCCGTCATCAATCACATCCTCGAGAACCAGTAATTGGTCATGGTGAATCAAATCTTCTGTTGATATCTTGACGATGGCACTGGTTTCTTCTCCATATATCCTTGTATGTACGAAGATAGATAGATGGTCGGTGATATCTTGAGGGTAAAGTCAACAGGTAGAATCCAATGATTTAGCAGTCAAAAGCAATCTGCTTATGCCGAGTTATGTCCTTGAGATATCTGGTGGAGTTATATTCTTCTGCGTCGAGGATCCCCTCAGAGAAGGTCCTCCGGATGAATGGCTTTTGAAGCACACGTACGTTGTCAGATCGGCCTTCTTCACCTCTTAAAATCCTCAAAACCTGAAGAACGATGAAGAACTCGATTTAGGTATCTTTAGATGGAATCAAGATGCAGTTTGGAATGGAAGTCATCAGCACGCATGCCTGGCTCATACGAGGCCGCAGCACTGATGAGTACTGGATGCACATGAAAGCTGTTCTTGCTGCAAAAAGCAGCTGCTTGCAGTCGTAGGAATCACCGAGTAAAGGATCGACGAGATCCTTGACCTTATTCTCCTCGAGCACGGGCTTCGCCTGCAACAAAGAAGAAGGGGGAGGAGGAGGAGGAGGAGGAGGAGGAGGAGGTGAAGCTCAGCGTCAAGGACACACGTACGTACCCACATCAGTAAGCTTTTCTGTGAAGAGTCAACAGCCCTACGGCCGGTGATGAGCTCGAGCAGCAGAATGCCGAAGGCGAACACGTCAGTCTTCTCATCGACCACGCCATGCGTGCAGTACTCAGGAGCGACATATCTACTCCGATGATCAAAGGGGATGCAACAAGTTAATCGTTAGGGGTACCAATACCAAATATTTTAGGATCTATAAAGGATCAAAGAGGATGCAGATAGGATCAAAGTTAATTGTTAGGGTACTAAATATTAATTTTAGGATGTTCTAACTACCTAGGAAGAATCTTAATTAAATTTAAACTCTTTGATAGATTAGGCTTAGGATGTAGATTAGGGATTCTAAGTATGAATGAATACATATTGAATCTCTCAGGATTTTGATGAGAGAGAAATATAAAACACTTTGGGTGCTTTTAAGGTTTCTATTCAATCGATGATTTAGAAAAGAATTGTGAGAAAGTATTTTTTATAATAATTTTTTTATATAATAAAAATTTTGATTTTCTCGATAGACAATAGACACAGTGTTGTTAAATTTTGCTTCGGCTTTTGTGTTTTTGTTGATGATTTTTGTTTTGATTTTTAGAGTTTGTATTCTCCCCCCAACATTAATTTCTTTAGAAAGAATGAACGGTAGAGGTGGAAAATGGCGTTGACAAACCCAAATGTGCCTTCGAAGCTGGACAGCGTGTGATGCGTCACTTCGTCCGGCAGCCACTTCGCCAGTCCAAAATCACATATCTGGATTGCTTGATCGAATCAGACATGTCGATTAGGAACATCGTATAGGGCAGAAATGTGAGATCAATACCTGCGGTTCGAAGTCTTCAGTAAGCAGTATGTTATCGACCTTGATGTCGCGATGAATGATGCGCCTTTGACACCTCTCGTGAAGGTACTCGAGGCCCTTTGCTGCTCCAATGGCGATCTTGTATCGCACCTCCCAGGCCAGTTTGTCCTTGGAATCTTACACCAGAGAGAGGAGAAGACATGGTTGAGCAGTAAAGGCGAGGAGGAGTAATGGAGTGGTTGATCAGTCCAGCTTGTACCATGGAGAAGGTTTTCCAGGCTTCCATGATGGGAGAGCTCAAAAACAAGGTGCATGCCTCCTTCGACCCCGACTCCGATCAGTTTGGCGATGTTGGGATGATGAAGGTGGACGAGAATTCCCATTTCGCACAGGAAGTTGTGAGTTCTTTCGTCTTTTGTGCCGCGGCTGATCCTTTTGACTGCTACAAGCCGGCCATTCTCCAGCCGTCCTCTGTAAATGTCAGCATATCCGCCCTTACCTATCTTGTTCTCTGCAGCAGAAAACAACCATGATTTAGACCAACTCTCTCTCTCAAGCGGGAGGAGAAGAGGTAACAAGCAGCGTCACCTGGGCTGAAATTGTCGGTGGCCTTTTCGAGCTCGGAGATGGTGAAGTTCTTCCAAGTAGGTCGGAAGAAGCAGAAGTCGGCTGCGGGATGAGCGTCCGGGCGGGAAGCTGGAGAGGGATGAGCGTCTCTGTTGCCTCGCTTCTTCGACCACTTCCGGAATCCGACGGGAGGGAAGCTGGAGAGGCGTCTCATAGATTTTTGCTTCCACAAACGGAATAATCCCTGCCACCGAGACGAGTTGCTTCGCGACATTAGGGTTTCGGCGTGGGAGGTGCTGGCTTTTGAGTTTCTCTCTGCGTCCGAAGGCCTCATCCCTTCTTCCATGTCACCAACGGTATCCTTCTCGGATCCGAAACACCGTAAATCTGATGAACCAATATGAGAATGTGGACATTCATGATCACAAGGATAAGAAGAAGGAGAAATGGCAGATGTGAGCTGTCACGTTACCATGGGCAGAGACACAGGCAGACAACACCATGCCTTCTCTGGATTCAAAGAAAACAGTTGCCGGGCAAGAGAGACGATGAAACGCGGAGACAAATGGGTTCAACACTTGGATTCATGTGGAGGAGAGACGAGGTTGAAGAAGAAGAAGAACATATTTGGGAACCATTACTGCTTCCTTCCATTGACGACTCCATCTGATCTCTTCTTCGAGACAAATGGGTCAGCATTCGGACAAGAAGAAATCAGGAGAAGGAGCGATAGGTTGGCGCGACTTTACCTCTCATCCTCCCAATATGCAGAGAGGGTTAAATGGAAACGGGTCACGATCTGCACATCTGGTCCGTCTATTTGCTCACAGTCCATCCTGTTGGATTAGATGATGATGATGAATAACCAAGACAAAAACACTATGTATCCTTTTATTTTATGAGATTAAACTATAAACAATGTTGTTATTATTATTGTGGAAATGTATGTAATCAAACAATAAACGACACTATAATTATGGAAAAGATCTGCTTACTTTATTATGAGGAATAATATTATTAAGCTATTCGATGCAAAATAATAATAAAAATCAATAATCGTCGACAGCAGGGTTCGAACCTGCGCGGGCGAAGCCCAACAGATTTCAAGTCTGTCTCCTTAACCACTCGGACATATCGACTACTTATTACGATTCGCACCAACAATTTATTAGTTTCTTGAATATATATTTCCCTATTTTGAAACATATTATTTAATTAAATTTAAAAAGTTGATTCATTGAGAGAGGTCAATTCATAAAGAATAATGCCGTAAGATGAAATTCTCGATCAAGCCCATTGAAATTTTGACTTAAGAGAGTATTAGTGTGGTTTTGAATTCTTTGTAATCTTTACTTTTTTATTTTAATATTCATGAATTTACCTAATTAAAATCTGCGTATCCTAATTCTTACATAATGTATCTTTAATCGAAGGAAACGCCACACATTCGATGAAGCATTAATGAACGCGAATCGAGCGGTGGCTGCACGCGCGGCTCGGCGTGACACGCGCAGATCCCGGCAATTGGGCATCCAGGCCGACACGCGCGGGACCACCAGAGGCGCCGCGCTCACGCCGTGACCGCCGTCACCGTCACAAGTTGACGGCCGTTACGTGAGCCTGAGCGTTCCCATCCAACCAAAAGGCGCGACAGGGGGTCTGCACTCCCCGACCCCACCCGCGCCCACGTGACCAAACATAAAATAATAATAATAATTCGTATCAATTAATTAATTATATTAATTAGATTATTCCTGACGCGGGCGGTCGGGCAGCACAATTCTATCCTAACTCCTTTTTACCACACGGGCGTCTCGGTTCCTGCACCCCCCACTCCAGCGGCGCTCTACTGGTAGCAAGGCGTGTCGGCCGGGGATTGGGATACGTTTAGCATTACGCTACTTTGCACCGAATTGATGTGGAAGCGAGGGCGGCGGGCCCCTGGGCGGTCAAACCGCCCGTGGACTGCGCCCATCCTTGTCCGCTCCCACCGTTCGCTCCTCTCCTCTCTTCCTCTCTCCTTCCTTCACCCGTCCTCTATTTCTACTCCCCAGCCCGCACTATCCTCCCTCAATGCTCATCCGATTGCCATCCTCTCTCTCTCCCGATCAATAAGAAAAAGAAGAAGAAGAGAAGTAAGTCTTACGATGGCACCCAGGGTGAAGGCTTCCAGAACCGGTGACGGATGTGGCGGCGGCGGCGGCTGCCGAGGAGGAGGAGATGGGAAGGGGGCGAGCTACCGGGGGGTCAGGAAGCGGCCGTGGGGGCGGTACGCGGCGGAGATCCGGGACCCAGCCAAGAAGTGCCGCGTGTGGCTCGGCACCTTTGACACCGCCGAGGAGGCCGCGCGCGCCTACGACGCCGCCGCCCGCCGGTTCCGCGGGCCCAAGGCCAAGACAAACTTTTCCTGCCCCCCGACGACCTCGGCAGCGGGCGCGAGCGCTGGCGCGGCGTCCTCCAGCCCCAGTGTCAGCACCGTCGAGTCGTCCACCCCGCCAAGGAGGCCCTCTGTCCGCATCCCGGCGCTGGATCTCGGGCTCCCCCATCCCTCCGCCCGGATCCCATTCGCGCACTGCGTGCCCGCCGCGGCGTGTCCGTTGGTGTTCTTCGACCCGATCGCGGCTTCCGAGAAGGCGGCAACAATGATCGCTCCTCCGACGATCGTGGCAGAGTTCAGAGATATCAGGGGGCCGGTGTGTGACGGGGTGGAGAGCGACTCGGACTCGTCGTCGGTGGTTGATTGCCCTC